TTCTAGCATTTAATATGCTAGCTATGTAGACTGGTGTGCTGACAACCTTTTCACCCATCAGCAGATATTCAGCGGCAAAGTGACAGTCGTTCAGTCGGGATCGCACACTCTTCTAGGTCAATACATGTCAAGCGACTTGCTAGGCCATGAGTAGTCAATAATGTCTTTTTCGAGCAATGGCTCGACCACCTTATGTCATGTCCTACACTTCTACATTTGATTGGTGGCCAACACATGGCCTAATTGGTGTTTGAGTAGGCGTGTTCCTAGAGTCTTGTGCCATAACGTTGTCAGTCTTCTCACGTGTTCTTGTCAGTCGGAAAAGTGTTTTATGTTACTTGGTCTAACTAGACTGATAAGCGGTCTGCTACAGTGCTCGGAAATGCCTCTTTCCAATTCCATTGGGCCTTGGATTTCCTTTTCTTCTTTGGACCTTGTCTTTTATTGGGCCTTTCTAGGTTTTTGTCTGGCTTGTACTATTTTGAAAGTAAAAAAGGATCATATGTTAACACAGTTAACAAGTCTTCACAATTCATAAACCATAAACCTTCTTCTTAATTCCTTTTATGAATAAAACCTACATTCTACTCATTTAAAATTGTTGAGGACGCATTCCAACAACTACTGCTAGGTGGATGCATGCATTTACACCAACTTTATTGTTATGGTGTCTAGAATTATAGCTTGAATTTGACCCAAAAAATAAAAAATTATGGCTTGAAATCTTCTATGGCAACTAGAAACATATACAAAGGTTTCTAATATTCCCCTTGCCACGTATTATTAAAAAGAATAGGTTGACTTTGTAATCATGAAAAGCATTCCATTAAACAAGCTCTTTTTTACAATTAGATCCAATAAAATAACACTACATTTCATTTTTGTCCAACTTAAATCTCAACTTTAGGGAATCAATTGGGTCCCACAAAATTATATTGCCCTAACACCTTTCCAAGATGAAAAATGCTGGACTCTCTATTGATTATATCATGTCACTTCATGCTTTTGATATAATGTTTTATGATATTACTACAAAAATTGACGTTAAACTGTGCTGTGTCAGAGAGTATATAAAAAGTTTTTCAATACTAAGGGGGAGTGGGGTGGGCTTAGCCTCATAATAGACTAGTAATAATACGGTTCAAATTCCTATTTGTCGATAATTGAATTTAAAATATCTCACTTACATGTGAACAAGAATACCACTAGACCGTAGTACTAAGTGACTAAACAATCTCAATTTTAAAAGAGTCTGTTACCATTCCTCTTACATGATTATCAACAGACCGTTGATAGTGTGGGGTTGCAACTCAGCATTGTCCCAAATACATTCATCGGGTCGGATTGGGTTGATATGGGCTAGAATATGGAAGGTAATGGATAGCCTGTATGTCAGTTCACCATAACTAGATGTACGAAGTGGAGCATACGCAATTAAGGTTGAAAACGAATCACAATTGAACTCAAAACTCTTACTTATAATTGTTTGATTAAGTTTCTTTATTATGGATCGACACATACGATATACTGTGATCCATGATCGTTGATTTTTTAGTCATTAGATCAATAGATAGTGTCATTCACACACTTTTTTTTTACTTTTCATACAACTTTCTCAATTTTTGACCGTCAAATCGAATGGATTAAAAAAGATCAATGCCCAAAGAGTAACAAAAGTGTGTGGAAGATAAAAATGAATATATAAATAACACTATCTTTTATAATTTTCGTTTCATTTCACATTAGTTTGGAAAGATTAAAATTACCTTTAAATGACATTAAAATAAGGCTTAAATGTCAAAATGGTTATTGTGTTGTAGTCATATGGCCAATTTTTAGTCCCCATGTTTTTGAGTTGGCTAATTTAATCCTCGTGTTTGTCTTTGTTAGCCAATTAAGGACATTTCATTCAATCTGTTTTAAAAAACTAATAAGAAAAATCGTATGAGAAATAATTACCTTTTGTCTTTACAGAAACATGCCAATCAATAAGAAATAACTTTTATAAGAAATAAAACTTCCAATATGAAAAATGATTAAGATTGTGACATAGAAAAGATATGGGGTAATGTTAGACAGGAGGTCGGAGAGTTGGGAGGAGAATAAATTTTCTTTTAATTTTTAATTTTATTTAATTTTAAATATTTTAAATCAAATAAATTAAAATTTCATAAATAAGTTTATAATAATTTATAAATTTTGTTTTACATGAATTAGATGGAAATGTCCTTAATTTGCTAACGGAGATAAACACAAGGACCAAATTGGCCAAATTGAAAACACAACAACTAAATTGATCCAATGACTAAAACACAGGGACCATTTTCACATTTAAGCCTTAAAATAATGTCATATATTAGCGTTAGTAACCATATGGTAAATACGTTTCTTTGCAATCTATCAAAATGTATCATATATTTCATCAAAAAGGAAAATGTATCATACATGATGTATGTTACACCTCCATCGTAAAATATCTGCCCTAATGAGAAGCGTTTTTATTTTACGGATCTTATTCACAATACTTAAAAGAGATGCAGGAATAGAAATTACTTTTATACGTGTCTTTTGGTAGTAAAAAGAGATAGAATCATGCTATGAATGATCCTTCTTTTTCTTTAAAGATATGGCATCTCACTTTTTTGTAGCAGGAGTGTGAGTTTTTTAATACTCTGTATTATCTATATTAAGGGGTTGGAAAGTGGTTAAAACTTGTAATGTATTGGTCATAATAATTTAGTTTGAATTTGTTTTTGACGAGAATCGACTTTAATACTTATCACTTATAAGTGAAGAAAAATATTACTAAATGATAATATTAAGTGTAGATGGAAGAGTGATTTGGGGCATTTTTGTCTTGGATGTACGAGCGATGGATATCTCCTTACCAAACAGGCAATGAGAACACCTTTTCTATTTTTCAACCACAAAGGAAGTATTTGAGAGGGGGACAATTGACTGAACCGAGGAATGGGATACTATGGGAATATAAAATATTATTATTTAATAAGATTAGGAAAATGGAATCTGATCACTCTAATGGCGTTTAGGGAAGGTGCTGCTGAATAATTAACGGTGAAAACCTCATCAGGTAGGCCGTAGGCTAGCAATTTTCTTTGGATAAACAACGCATACCAAAAGGTTACGGGTTTCAGTCGTGGAAACAGTTTTTTTTTTTTTTTTTGTAAAGTAAAAGTAAAGCTGTGTACGATAGACGTTTTTCCTTGATCCTCACAAAACGGAGAACCTTGTTGACTTGTGATCACTATTTTTTTTTAAACAATGCATGCCAAGCAAACATTGGTTGAGATGGATGTGCTCTTCTTATAACTTTGAGTTCAAACTCTTTTTTTTGTAAGTTAGATTAGTGTAAAGTAAATATCAATTGTCTACGAAAAATAATAAACACTATCAATTACCTAATTCTCTAAACATAAAAACTCAGCACAATACAGCGGACGCACAGAATTTTTGTACCAAACATGAAGGCACTTGTGAGAACTAAGAAGTTGTTACTATAATGATGATAATTGGATATATTTTCATTTGATTTTAATACAAAATGTTTAGTTTTTGGTGGGAAAAGTTAGTGTGTTGTCTGTGCATGCTTAAACTACTAAAGTAATTAATCACTCAAATCAGCAGTTGGGTTTGATTCTTAGAAAATGACCGAAAGCTTAAAAGAATGTTGTAACAGCCACTAAAATCGGCCCCTTAGAAGGTGGGATATATATTTTGCTTATTGACTCATCTTCCTCATAAAAGGGCATGAAAATGACTACTACTCCACCTTTTAGAATTGCTAAAAGCATTTTCAGATGTTAAAAAGTGCTTCTTCTACTAAAATGGGTTAGAATGCCTGTAACCCTAATTTACACAGAGTAGTAGACACCCTATTTAGTAACACGGAATGCTCTTGTGTAATTTCCTGAAGTACTTTCTATCAAGGTTTTAAAAAACGCTAGGTGCTAGTCGGGTGGCGGGCTGGAGCCTAGCGCCTAGGCGGCTAGGTGGACTAAGCGGATTAAATTAAATCTATTATATTTTGTATAAATAAGTGTCTGTTTATACTTAAAATATATATGATTTCATAATAAACTACAAAATGGAATGACATATATATTATGAGTTATGAGAACATAATGAAAACATGAAGAACAAATATATAATGTGTGTTCCTTTAAGTATTAAACAAGTCTCTTACAATTTATTGAAAAACTAAAATGAAAAATGAAAGTTATTTATTTTATATCTAAGTGAGTCACAACCTAGGAGGGTGTCTAGACGAGTCTGGACGGGCTAGGCGGTCTAGATGGGTGCCTCAGTAGGTCTAGGCGCATTTTCTTAATTTTCAAATGTCTAGGTATTAATCAGGATGGTGGTCAACCGCCTAGGGCCTAGGCGGCGCTAGACGGGGATTTTTAGAACACAGCTTTCTATACAAAAGGTTATTTTCCCGAGTTTTACCAAGCATTTGAAAGGGTTTTTTTTTTTTTTTTTTTTTTTTAAAGGATACACTTGCTCTAGGAAGCTTTTGAAGTTTAATAAAAAAAAATCCTGCTACTAAATAGAGTACTTTTAGTTAAAGCGCTTTCTAACAAAAAAAAAAAAAAAAAAATTCAGGAAAGAAACATTTTCAAACAAAACCTTAATGGGCTTCAAACTTCATTAAAAATACGGGTAGACTCCAAAAGGCCCAGGATTGTCCAATACGAAGTCCGTGGGCCGGACTCCGCACCGTATAAATGTATCCAAGTTCAAACGGAGGAAGAGCAGAGTTTCTGCGAAAACGATGGACTGTGCCGGCAAGGGACTGGGAACTCGGTGCACGGGCCCACCCACCGGACGATGTGCTCGCCGTGGAGCCGTCGCTTACTGCTCCGTATCTCACCAGGTACTTCTCTCTCTCTCTCTCTTCGATTTTTTGTGCTTTAAGTAAATCATGCAATCGTAATCATGGTTTTAGATTTAATTTAAGATAATAGCAATTTGGGTTAATCTTAATTTCTGTAGAAATGGTCTACCTGGTACATCTGAATTTCTCTGTATTCTATTGTTTTCCACATTGATTCTAATTCCGGTCCGTTATATCTTAATCTTACCATTTGCAGGTTAAATAATTCTTGGGATCTCTCGAATATATTTTGCCCTTGTACTGGTATCGTCCTGTTCATCTTATAAGATAATTTAAGAGAAGTTGATGTTTATCGGTTTATGACTTACACTTGCAGATCCTTTATTTATAATATCAACATGCAGAGCCTTCAGTTACGATATCCGAGTGTTTAACCGGTTGGAAGGAGTACTGTGAGCGGAGGTCCATCCCGCTGCATTCACCTGTTGCATTGCTTCTCCATTGGGTATGATAGGTGTTTTAGTTGAGTGTTAGAATTTGTGTATAAAATCAAACCCGAACAATTTGTAACCAGTTGTGTATAAAATCAGCTTCTCCGTTGGGTATGATTTACTACCATTAGAAAGAGCTTCTTCAGCTTTCTGTCTTCTCAGAGTTGCGTGTGCTTTTCCCTAACATGAACATGCATATAGAGCTTGTTGGGCCTTCGATTCCACAGCATAGGTTGGTTCTATAGTTTGATATGATCTTTTGCTTGGTATTCATATACATTCCTTTTTTATTGAACTTCACTCATGAAGATAAAACAAGGATTGCTTAATTGTGTTTGCACTCTTGTGGAGAAATGATCTCTCATTCATATTTGATTCTGCCTCTACTTTTTGAGATGGCTAGGATGGCGAGATGGTCGCGTTAATCGATTATGCTCATTGCCTTGATTGAGATTGCATTTGTAAATCCTCAAGTGAGACTGTCAGTGGGGATGTACATACTAGTGAACCTTCAGCAGTTACATTGCACCTTAGAAGCGGCTTTTATCATGACCGTTACATGGATATAACTAAGGTTGTATTCTTGTCTCTTTAGCCTTATCGGTTTTCCATTTTGTGGTTTCTCATGACTTCTCAAATGTGTGTAGGATTCATCCCCTCAGTCATTGCTCCAAATGCAGGAATTGCTGCGTATTCAAGCTGGTCACCGACTATTGTCAGTTTTTGATACCTAATCATCTCTTGTTTTGGTTCCGTTATTTTAATCCTTTTCTCTTAATTTAGTTGGTTGCATGGCTGTGTGTTTCAGGGGTTAATAAAGGATATGAACATCCCAGCGGTATTTTCCGATTACTGCAAAGAAGCTTGTCATCTTGGAGCTCGTTGCATAAGCAGCGTAACTTGGCCATCCTCTCAATATCCCTGTGCGTCAACCTTACTCAACTGTTATTATAGTATTGCATTAAACCGCAACTGCTTAATCTGATCATACCAAAATTCTTGCCTCTGCCTTGTAGATTCAGTTAAATCCATTCAGGCAACCGATGGCGGTGGAAGACAGTGTTCTTGTTCTTCCTTTCCACTCAAATTGCTTCCTCTATGGGATGTCAAATTGGTCGGCCTAAAATCATATGCATTGTTTTAAAGATCGCCGGCGCGTCTCTTGACGAAAAGGAGGGCAAGTTATCAAGGTAGATGAGACCCGTTTCGTAACGACGTTCTCTTCAAATGGTGGTCAGTTTGTATGACATCAATTATATACGTTCAGTTCATGATGTATACATCTGTTGTATGCAGTTAGAACTTTGCTGATTAAAAATGTGTTTCTCTTTAGCTTTTTCGATTAAAAATGTGTGCGTGCTTTTTTTTATAAATAATTTTACGAAAAAGTTTTCAAACATAACGTGTTTTTTTATATTTTAGTACATCAATATTTTTTCATTGAGGAGAGGGAAAGTTCAGTAAAACCACAAAATGAGCAGCCTTATTTGGTATCGAATTCGTTATTCACGATATTCGAATTTTAAAGATTGAAGTTATTCTTGATTTTCACGATTAAGGATTTCAGTAAACTTATGGACCAAACGATGTCGTTTCATACTAATCATCCAACGGACGTAACAGAACGTAGCCAGCATTCCCGCGGCTCCCGCCTACGTGGAACGTTGAAACGTCCGAACTAGCCAAAACAAAATCAAGGTCGGTCAATGAAAATCCAAAAACAAACCCAAAATTCCAAAAATAATTTCCAAAAA